CTACGTTGTTATCTGAAAATCACCCCGCTTTACTCTGTGTATCCAGAGTACAGCATGGCACCGACGAAATGCATTGCTCTACCATTGTATGAATCTATTGTCCGTCGAGATTTCTGAGATATAGGCGCAGAAACAGTTTATATCTTAATCGACTTATGTCGCTCGTGCTGATCAGATTTTGTCTCTTTCTGTCAGCATGTATCTCTTCTCAACCCTCGGCCTGTTTCCGCTTGCCTACAGGCCACTACCAGGGGAGTTCATATTAATCTTCAGCATTATGAATGGCCTGGACTGTTGTTTTATAACAAATGATTTTTCCCCCCAGGCTAACAAGGAATGTTCAGGAATGTTCAGGAATGTTCTTCTTTCCATCTGTGAGGTGCAAACTCAACACGCATCAAGCTAGAGATTTTATTGAGAATAAACAATGTTCAAAATATGTACAGTATGTAACAAGTTTGTGGTGAAATATATCTGTTAAATTATACATCTGCTTTCAAGAGCCATGCCCCGGGGAGTCGCTGAAGTCGAACTCATCATGCCGATTTCGGAATCCCTTAGCAAAGGGATTGTTATCAATCTTCACGCGTATCACATCGGGATTCTGGTAGGCTGTAACCGAATAAAAGTGTGTTCCAGGAATGACATAGGATCCTGCCAGTTCCCATCCGGATCGAGAGATGTTGTAGTCCGATTTGTTTCGTTCAATTTCCTCCTTTGTTAGCTCGCAGGCAATGTGATAGCGTGGCATGTAGTGGTGCATGCTATAGACGTACATCTGTTGTGAAATAAAGAAGTCGGGTTAACACCTACTTAAATCGCTTTAGTAGCGGTAGTAAAATGCATATCTAGTGAACTTACCATATTTTGATGTCTACCAGCGTCCTTGCTGTTTGTAATCTTTGCCCGCATGAAATTAACTCCAGATTCTGCCCAGTATCTTCCACATCGCGGCGAATCCTCTTGCAAGTATATCAGTGGTGCTAGATGAAAAGAATTCTATTGACTCACTTAATAGTATCTCTAAAAAAAACATGCGACATGAAAGAAAATTGACTCTTGTTCTGGCAGTTCCCTTTGCGCCAGAAAAATGTTTAACCTGACGACTAGTACTTCCATGTCGCCTGTTGTAGAGCCTACGGCCAGTGCATGCAATGGCTTGTTTATACAGGTCGCACACAGGCCGGAGGCAACCATAAGGCGACAGATAATGAAGCCGAAAG